TTGAAAATCATCAAATGAAGAATCAATGTAAATGCAAGTCTCACCTTAACTTCTTTTGATTATGGGGAAGAAAAAGCGTAGGTCTACAAAATAGAAACAACCCGTTTTGCACATATTCAACTTCTTTTATATTAAATACTACCCCTTTCTCTTTTTTTTCTTTTTTTTTGAAAGGCAACTGAAAATCGTCAAATGAAGAATCAATGTAAATGCAAGGCTCACCTTGTGAAAGTTGTACACATGGGCTCAATACAAGGAAGGTCATTCCACCTATTGCCAATTAGTTTTAGGTTGCATGCAAACCTTATGTTGAGCCCACATGCATAATTTTCACATGATATAAGAGCCCAGATTCTGTCTTGGGAAGCCCGTTGTTAGCCCACCTAACAGGACCCGAAGTTAAAGATACCGGGCCTGTATTTAAAGGGGCGTGTTAGCCCACGTGATAGGACCTAACATTCATAGTGGACTTGCACGTGAAGGGGCGTGTTGAGTGGGAAAATCTCACATCAAGTATAAAAGCAAGAAGCATGTGGGCTTAATACAAGGTTTGCATCTAACCTAAAACCAATTGGCAATAGGTGGAGTGGCCTTCTTTGTATTTAACCCACAAGCTTCTTACTTTTACACTTGATATGTGGGATTTTCCCACTTAACACCCCCCTCATGTGCAAGCCTAATATGAATGTTGGGTCCTATCACATGGGCTAACATACCCACTTAAATGCAGTGCAAGCCCTGATATGAATGTCAAGTCCTATCATGTGGACTAACACGCCCCCTTAAATGCAGACCTGGTATCTTTAATTTTGGGTCCTGGTATCTTTAATTTTGGGTCTTGTTAAGTGGGTTAACAACAAGCTTCCCAGGATAAAATCTGGGCTCTGATACCATATGAAAATTATGCATGTGGGCTCAACACAAGGCTTGCATCCAACCTAAAACCAATTGGCAATAGGTGGAGTGGCCTTCCTTATATTTAACCCACAAGCTTCTTATTTTTATACTCGATGTGGGATTGTCCCACTTAACACACCCCTTCACATGTAGGCCCACTATGAATGTTGGGTCTTGTCATGTGGGTTAACAGGCCTCTTTAAATGCAGGCCTAGTATCTTCAACTTCAGGTCCTGTTAGGTGGGTTGATAACGGGCTCCCAAGGCAAAACTTGGGCTTTGATACCATGTGAAGATTGTGCATATGGGCTCAACACCTTGTACTCTATTTGTTATAAAACTTTATTTGTTTGTTGTGTAAAAAAAAAAATTAATCTTCAAACATATTAATTACTATTGATCCAACGATTTTAAAAACTTCAACAAAAAAAAAAAAG